GCGCGAGTTTCCCTCGGAGAGCGACGATGCTCCCCGATGAAGTCATTCCTTTATTTAATATGGACCTTGTAATTATAATTGGAGCTCTTATATTGGAATTTAGAATTGTATTAAAAGCAGGATTCAATTGGACTACAATGACAATGCTTGCTAAAGAAAGAAATTAAGTCGTTTCGTCGTGATGCGTTAAGAGCCCTGCGCCTTCCATAAACATACTATACAAGAGATAATTCTTCGCGGTCATGATTTGCCCAGGTTGCCGAGCTGCTGTAATAGGTTGACAGTCTCCTCCGCGGAGTACCCGAAGAAGACGGGGCCATTGAAGGTGATATGGGAGGGGATTTCGAATGTTGAGGGGATGTCAGGTTTCGTAGTCGAGTCCTCACTCACAGGGGCAGTTGGAGCACGAGCAGCCTCGGGGGCAGGTGGTTGATTTGTGACTTGATCTGTGACTTGATCTGTGACGGCCTGCTCCTTGGGCCAGGTTTTAGGCCAATCACCACTCCAGGGAGCCTCGGTTTCAGGTTTTGCAACTTCGGCTTTTGGTTTGTGGCCGAATGGACAACCAGATTTCTCTGGCGGAGCAACATTTTTGTCCTCGGGCCTTTCACCACTGCCAGATGTTTGTGTTTCGGGCTTTGGTTTGCCGTGGCCGAATGGACAACCGCCGGCAGGCTTAGCATCAAGGACCTTGGCATTGGTGGGTTTATCGGGTTTGTCGGCTTGAGGATCGAGGGATGTGGTGATAGACGCTGAACCAGAGAACGGCGTTGAGGCGGGAGGTAGATGTGTGACGGGCACTGAAATGCCCCAAGGCCTGCTTGGGGATTCACCCACGCGGACTTCACGGAGGGGACGGTCAAAGTGACTCTGGCGGTTGTCATCCTCATTCTTATCCTCCTCGTTCTTCTCCTCGATCTCGGCGATGGGGGTGTTGGGGTCCACGTTGTCGGCCCATTTCTCAACACGTTCGGTCGACGCAGAATGCGAGGAGTGACCTTCGCCGTTGGTCTGACGGTCAGGTAGGAAAGCTTGGTGCTTAACACCTAAGCCAGCGATCATGCTGGTCAGGCCACCGTATTTGGCGTCCAGATGCCTCATGTCCTGCGGGTTTCGTTGATAACGCTTGACGCAAATTGCGTGGCTGCGGGGGATCTCATGTTTGTGTCGTTCGACGTATTCGGCAATTTCTTCGGGGGAGTGTTGATCGAGGAATCGGATCGGGCATCGGGAGACGGGGCATCCTCCTTTTGATGACGGGGCCGATGGGGTGTGGCTAGAGCGTCGTTCGTCTTGTTCAGCCTTGATAGGGTCCAGATGCTCGTGGCCGCAGGTGGCTTCGATCTGGATCTTCGGCGCAGAGTCCTGCCCACTAAGGGCCTCGCTGCCATTTGTGCTCTTCATCTTATTCGGTTTGGAAAAGGGGCATTGCAGATATCCCTGGGTGCCATTCGTTGTGAAGTCCTTCTCCAGCGCGATTGCTGGAGCCGGTGCTTGCGCGAGTATGCACGAGTTGGAGGATATTTGGGAGAGGCTATCTTGAGAGCGGAGCAGAGCTTTGCACCCTTTGACTCCATTTTTGATGGCCGAGAAAGTATTTTCGTCTACATTTTGATGTGCAACGAGGGTCTTGATTACATCCATGGAATTCAACGGTTGTTCCGCCACTCGAGGCTTGCTGTGTACGAGGCCCTGACGATATTCTTCCTGCTGAGCAAACAGCTTGGATTGAACGTCCTGTGCATGATGTCTATCTTGAGGAGGCAGAATTTCTATCACATCTGTGTACTGCAAGATACAAAGTTAGCAATGTTCATCTTGTCAAATGCATAACAGCAAGGCAGTCATGGTCTCAATCAGATAATACATGTTAATCCGTCATCGCCACAAAAGTGACTCCTGATCTAGAGCTTTTCTTCGTCATGCGAGACCAGGATGCGGAAGCAGAAAGGAGAGAAAAGGGGTGTATTTACCTCTTTGAAGACATTATCCATGTGCTGTAACAGCTCATTTTGTCTGTGAGTCAGCTGGTACACGGTTAGTAGGAGCGCATCGAAGGCTTTGCCCACGGCCTCGAGCTGATCATGATGCAGATCCGGCTGCATCTCAGCAATCATGGCAGGTGACATAAGGAAATGTATTACAAGGTATCAGAAGGAATTAATCTGATATGGAAGTGGCCTGTGGAGGCTCAAACTTCAAAAGCATGAGAGATGAAAAAGAGGAAAACAGGCGGATTTATAGCGACGGGGTGGCCGGAAAAACTTGAAGCGAGGTGGTCTGTGCTGGTCATGTGATGACCTATCCCACTTTAGGCTTGGGCCGAGGTCGAGTATACTTCAATGTACATGTACATTGATCTACCTTCTTTACCTTGAATGGAGTGACTAGATGCAAGTACATGCATGTTACAGTGTATTAGTAGCATGTATAGTGGGGGTTTATAGTGTCTAGTGAAGTATAATTGTGAGACAATGAATCAGTACAGTCAACCTGCCTACCTGCCCACCTCAGAAGTATCCAAGGGAATTACTTCAAATGACAGATCATTATTTTATTTGCTTTTCAGTATCTATTCTGGTTCCCGTGTGATATATGGTGTAATTCCAGCGGGTGTGTTTACCAGTTCCTAAAACCAACGCTCGTCGATTGGAGGCTAGTATGGATATATATATATATATTGCAGTGGGCACTCCAGGGAGAGGATATGTCATGAAAAAGAACATCAATAATGAAGACATTGGGATATAAAAGCAGCAAAAACAGGTGTAGCATATTATAAACAACAATCTAAGCTTAATCCAACCCCTAGTTTCACACGTTCACTTGGTTTAAGCCTATCTAGCACTATATCGCAACCTCTTTCAACAGCCCAGCCGGGCTAGCTCAATCGGTAGAGCGTAAGACTCTTAATCTTAAGGCTGCGGGTTCGACCCCCGCGTTCGGCTATTCCTAAAAACCAAACCTGAGATTTCTTTTTTTTTTTGCTTTATTTTTGTTGGATCTATATTGTTTTCGTACAAGGGGCTTTTTTTTCCCTCGTACTTTTGTTCCCTTTTTCTTTTCTAGCCCCAGCGGATCACGGATCAGTATGCGATTACGGAGTACAAAGGGAGTAATTTCCCCCCACTATCTGCACAACAGACATCCCGGTATGCAGCACGCATGTATTCTGTAAAGCCACTGTGATGAGTTTCAGATCACGTCGTGGCTTGAGACATTCTATTGGCCGGGGATAGGTGTAATGGCTGTACGATGTGTCAAGTCTACAGGGTGTTGAGATGGTCTGATCCAATGCCACCTTCTCAATCCCCGGTCTAGGCAAAAACCCAGGGTGAGTCATTTATGAAGATACCTTGATAGTCTCTAGTCGGGTTCTGCCTGGACCTCCCTGGACCTCTAAAGTAACCATAAAACTCCGGATTTCAGTCCAACGGTCTAGGCTTCTGGGGAACCTGGAACACAGTGTAAGGGATGACTGGTATCAGTTTGGAACACAATTCCTCCTGACGATGAGGGGACTGAGCACTTTAGTTTACGGGGCTAATCAATTAGGGTCTCGCAGATCGTAACCTGGTTGGGTCATATCTAGGAACTACTCTGTACGAGTATAGTAAGCATAGTAAACTAGTATAGTTTTGCATGTGTTCTAGAAGAATATGCAATTGCGTGATAGTTTAGTATTTTAATCTGGTTTGTACTCTTATATCTGAGAACATATAATGACTGTAATATACATATTAATACAATATACAATGAAATAACATATATATACATATACATATATAGTACTATATATATATATATATAAAAATAAAAAACATGTAACAATCTAGACCTGAGGGGCAAAAAACCCGATTATCTGCTTATCTGTAATTTTACCCTCCCTATTTTTTTTCCCCTCCTTAAAGATTTTCTAGTTTTTACTTTACTTCTAAGCCCCCCCCCCTCTTTATTCTCTTCTCTTCCTCATCATGTCCTCCACTCTCCCAGATGCCTCCAAAGTCGGACTCCCCGCCTCCGATGCCACCAGCGCCGCCGAACTCGCCAGTCTTAAGGTAAGACTGCGTGGCGCCCTGCGCCAGTTCCCGGATTTCCCCTCTCCGGGAATTTTGTTCGAGGATATCCTGCCTATTTTCGCCGATCCTAGTTTGCACGAGGCCCTGATCCGCTCTTTGGAACTTCACGTTACCGCCAACTACGACCAGAAGCCCGATGTCATTGTCGGCCTCGAGGCCCGTGGCTTCTTGATGGGTCCCAGTCTGGCGCTGCGTCTGGGTGCCAGCTTCGTCCCCGTGCGCAAGCAGGGCAAGCTTCCCGGTCCTTGCGAGACCCAGGGCTACGAGAAGGAGTATGGTCAGGATTTCTTCCAGATGCAGTCTGATTCCATCAAGCCCGGCCAGAAGGTCCTTGTTATTGATGATATTATTGCTACTGGTATGTGATACGAATCTCCCCCGGATACTTCATCTACTAACTATTTTTTAGGTGGCTCTGCCAAGGCTGGTGGTGAGCTGATCCAGAAAATGGGCGGCGAACTCCTCGGCTTCATCTTCCTCCTCGAGCTTGAGTTCCTTCACGGACGCGACAAGCTCCCCGCGCCGGTTTACACTCTCCTATCTGGCCAAGCTTAATTACACACTTCCCAAAAATATTCTTCCTGCGACGATCTCAACTGCCGATTATAATGACCCCATCCTTTCAAAAGTCCGATCACACCCGATATTGCGGTGAGCGTCACCCGCTCCTTCCGGGCCTCAAAACAATTTACTCGAACTTCGAGTCTGGGAGCCTCGTTTCGCTGGTCGACGGCACCACAGCTGCAGAGCTGCTCGCCGGATAATATCCAATATAGACAACTAGCTTTTATCAATGCAACTTGATATGTGTATAGACTGGTTAATCATATTTGAATAGAGTAGCTTTTTTTTTTTTTTATAGCAATTGAGCCGGACCAATGATATACTTTCAAAACTTATCAATCTCAAATCTAGAAGGTTTTACTCTTTAGGAATGAACTTCCTCATAACCTCCTCCACCCATTCCATAGGAACCCCCAAATCTACAGACTCCCGAATAGCCCGATTCATTCTCGCAATATACTCAAACTTGGGCCCAGCAAGCTTAATACAGTTCTCATCAACATAAACCAAAACTGGCACCTTTCCCTTATCCTCAAGCCCCCTCACTCCCTCCCCATCCAACCACTTCACAACATCCGCCTCAACAAACCACTTATTATAAGACCCATTTCCCTGCACCCTAGGTCTAACAGAAACGGGAACACCATCGCTATCCTTCGCACCAGCGGCACATGTATCAACCCCCTCATAACCATCCAGAATCTTTTCGTCACCAACGTCCATCTGGTAAAGAACACCGTAGACCGCGTCTTCAGCTCCGGAAACGGGAATATGATGCGCAGTCTCAGAGTCTTGATTTGCGACGCGCAGACCCGGTCGTGGGAGGACGTTTGCGTAGCCCGCCTCACAGATTAGCCAGCGCCAGTGTGGGAGGGTTGCGATTGCTAGTGGGGTGGCGGAGTGGGTGGGGTTTATGCGACAGCGGGATTTCATTTGGGCTGGGGAGAGGTTGGAGCCATAGGCGAAGTAGAGATATTTTGCATATTGGGGTGGTTTTGTGGTTGGTGGGGTGGGTGTTGGGAGGGGTTTGGTGTGTCTTTCTGCTGGTTCGAGGGCTGAGATGGAGAGCATTTCGGAGATGGGTTATGGAAGAATTTAGGTGAGGAAGAGAAAGAAGTGAATGAGTCAAGAGTGGAAGTATGTAGAAGCCAAGCTCCAATTGCGCCTTACCGTCAAGTTCTACATTTGTTTTCTTTTTTATTATTAGTTATATTGGAAATGAAGCCTCTTGAATACTTGATCAGAAGTAGAAAGCCATTAAAACAAACAAATACCTTAATTATTAGTGAGCCAGAATTATCTTATCCCAAGGTCCTCAAATTCACTCTATAGCTCTCTATACTGGCCCGTTAGCCATATCCAAGCCGCTGCGCTCTCTTAGTTATATACGGCCTAACATGGCCTAATTTAACGAGAAAAGAGTCCATTTCCCACGAGCTCTGTTCATCCTACCAGACTCTTATCTACTCGCGATATACTCTTTGTCATCTTGAGAACAATCAAGCTGAGCCCGATAATACTAATGGCCACAATAGTGAAAACGCCGAGAAGTGCAGGGTTGCTCGTATTGACAGTATAGCCAATAGCATCACCGGGGTAAAATAGGTGATCTAGGGTACTATACTGTTCGGGGGGAATGCTTTTTAGGAAATGAAGGTATTATAGTTGGTATCCACACGGTTTATGAAAAAGAAATGAAACTACACAGCTTTGAAGGCCCGAGCGACATTGAGTCGGGCCGTGCCTGGAGATGAACACGCCACGAGCTACTTCATACTCCAATAAAACAAATGAAGGACACGCTAATGCGTACTTCCCCGCTGGATATGGCCGGTACTATGCCCATATTAGTTTCTCAATTCCCCGAGCCAATCAAGAATAGGGCTCATGAGGGTGTGGGCTAGATCTTTTATAGCGAAAATAGCCGTCACGGACCTCTCTGTTCAGACATTCTAGATCGCTAATCCCGGGAATACTCTCAAATACTCTCACGTCAACTTACTATATATAGACTCGCATTGGGATTCTCTACATGTTTAGTCCAATAGGATTATACTTACACGAGGCTAGTTCACAGGCGTGTAAGTTAAATGTGGCCAAAGGAACTCGGGAGTTGTCTATCATCGAAGGACTTCTTATCCTAACACATATTGGAAAAGAACTATTCCCGTTAGTTGCCCTAAGTATAAACTTAGGTCTGCGTTTCCTTTAAAATAGGATAATTCTCTTTAGGCTCATAGTAGAAGTCAAGGCTAAGTTCCCGTATACTAGAAGGCCACCGAAACGAGTCTAGAGATTTTCGATTATATAGTGAGTAGTAAGGTCCTTGGTATATAACATACTGTTCCGATGAAGTTTTCCAAGTATCGATAAATCAGGGTAATATCTTAAATAGGGTCTGAATATATTCACTATGCCTAATCATTCGTTGAGAAGGCAGAGATACTGTATTTTGAAATCTAGTTACTGGCGACGTAGCCGCATCTAGATCGGGAAGGATTTTATTTAGCAGTGCACCTATAAAACTTCCCTCTCTAATAACACAGCCACGACACCTAAGACTTTGCGGGATTGGATTACTCTGCGTGGGAAAAGGTGACGGAGACGACAGAGCCTCAGTTGTTCAAGGTTACTGAGAAATTTAGGTATTCGAAACTGGGAGTCTGGATGGAAGAACAATTGAAATGACTATTGAACTTGTAATGGATATGATTGGTTATATGAGACTGATAGAATTGATGAATCTGTGGCTATGTTCACTATGCTATGTGGAATGTGTCTATAGGAAATTTAAAGACATTTACCTCTTTGAATATCTCCTAGTTTCGAGAACCCCTGCGAGTAACTTCTCGGTCATCAATGACCGATATACTCATAGACTGCCAATTGTGGGGGTTTGTAGATCATCGGAAACCGAGTTCCGCTTTTTCATATATCAAGGAAGTTGAGGATTGAATATTTGTAAAAGAATATCCAAAATGGCACCCAACAAACTAGCAATCGCCAGCATCTCCCTAAGCCAATACCCAGGCCATACTCTCGACCACAAAATCCGCGCCGCAGCCCAAGCCGGCATCGCAGGAATCGAAATAGTCTATAACGACCTTCTCATCTACAGCCAAACCCAAAACATCTCCATCCACGCCGGAGCCCAAAAGATCCACACCCTCTGCCTGGAAACAAAGCTCCAAGTCCTCTCTCTAGCCCCCTTCGAAAACTACGAAGGCTCAACAACCCCCCTCAAAGAAAGACTTGCCCTCGCCCAGCACTGGCTTGAAATAGCCCGTCTACTACACGCACCATACCTCCAAGTTCCATCAATCTTCACTGCAGACTGCTCCCGCGATGAAAAAATAATCATATCCGACCTCCAGCAGCTAGCCGACCTAGCCAGCTCCATAAAGCCAATAGTATCAATCGCCTACGAACCCTTGTCATGGGGAACAAACTGCTCAACCTGGGAAAGCGCCCTGTCAATTGTGCAACGGGTTGACCGTCCAAATTTCGGACTATGTATGGATACATTCCATGAAGGGACGCGGTTGTGGGGGGATAATGCTTCTCCAACGGGATTGCAAATGGATGCCGAGATGAAGCTGCGGGATTCGCTGATGAGGTTTGTGCGGGATTGTCCGCGGGAGAAGATTTTCTATGTACAGCTTTCTGATGCGGAGCGCTTTGAGACGCCTTATTCGTTGGTGCATCCGTGGGCGTTGTCGGGTGAGGCGAAGGAGTTTACTTGGTCGAAGCATGCCAGGCCTTTTCCGTTGGAGGTTGAGTTTGGGGCGTATTTGCCTGTTGTAGAGATTGCCAGGGCGTGGATTGTTGAGGTTGGGTTTGAAGGGTGGGTTTCTATGGAGGTTTTTGACCGGAGAATGAGAGATGGGAGAGTTAGTCCTGAGATAGCGGCTAGGAGGGGGTCTGAGTCTTGGAGGAAGGTTCAGATTGAGATGGAGAATAAGTCGAGGCTTTGAGCTGAGGTTTTGAGGGATGCGGGTTGTATATAGAGATAGTTTAGATGGTGAATGTAGATTCTCAAATAAATCCAGTTCAATTACTAGCTGGTGTTTGGACTATATTCAAGTCTAAACCTATGTACATATGCGAAACATAAAAACAGGCGCGCCACAAATGATCCGACAATCTTCCAAAAGGGTATATTATATCTGTGTGGATATTTCAAACAATGTGTAAATTCGTGATTGGGACGCCGCGAGAGCGCATGCTATATCGTCTCTTGACTCCGATGCCATTTGCATGGCGCAGGAGCTCGTATGTTTCATCTCCGCCACCAACCATGACCATGCTGATGAGGTAATTTCGTGGGATGCCACTGGGTGTCATTTGGGCTTCGTCGAGATGTGGACGGATGAGAGTGGACTCGGCGCGGACAGCGGCGAGCGCGGAGCGAGACCCGGGTTGGTTTGCTGACTCTTTCTTCTGCCCGTGAAAGCCGGGTGGTGGCATTTCGTCGTATGACACGACGATGATTAGCTTCAGCGTGGATCGCGCTGGTCGGTATGCGGGGATATTGCGGAGCTTTTCCGAGAAGGTGCAGCCGCCACGTTTGATAACCAGAACTTCGTGGGTATGAGCGACCTCACGGAGGATTCCCTCGTTGCAGAGCTCGCCGGCAAAGTATATACTTGACCACGACAGGCGGTCTTTAGATGGGCCGCCGAGCAAGGACAAAGTGACTGCATCTTCAATATCCGGAAGCGGACTGGCCCCAATGCCTGTGGAGATAGCAGCAGGGAGACTCAACCTGAGTGGAGCAGGTTCGGTCGGCTCGCTGTGAAGCAAAGACGACACCGAGTTCACCAGAGACGATAGCATGGCTCTTACGGTTGAGTCTGGGGAGTCAACAATTGCGGCATCGTCGACAGAAGAGGCGGGGCTGTGGCCTCCGAGACGGGGCTCTGGCGGGTGAGGATTTTCTGGTTGAGGTTGCTCATCTCGTGAATGAGCCGAGTCATTACGTCGGCGAGAGGGTTCTGGGAGAACGTCAATGACGAGGTCAAGCATGGCATTGTCGCGAACACGGGTGAAGTTCGGATCATACGGATCGACGACATCAAATGTGATTTGGCGAGAGAGATATACCTTCTCATCTTTGCCTAATGGCACATTGTTGATAACCTGCACCCGGTAACCGTCTTCCTCCCCAGCTGTGGGCGTTGGGGTGTCCAACCGTACATCCTGAACCATACTCAACCGGAGTCCTCCAATCGTTTTTACAAGTACCCCGTCTCGGACACGTTCCAGCGCTCCAGGTCCCATGTTCACGCCACCTGGAAGTGACGGGAATGAGATATCGAGCGTGGGACGAACGGCCATGGGTGCGCTGGTGGCGTCGAATGGGACCAGCTGAGGTGGCAGTGTCCACGGGTAGAATGTGTAATTGGTTGGTGATGTAAGGTCAGACATAAACACACTTTGATGTCCAGGCGAGTCTTCTAGAATAGGACTCGCGGCCACCCCTCGATCAGGCATCAGATCCAGGCGTGCCAAGGTGGCAGCATGGAATATGTCCGAACGGGACGCAGTGGAAGACACGCCGAAGAACGGAGAGGGAATGATTTGACATATTCCCTCAGCAACGTTTTGACCCTGAGGCGGGGTGTGCTTTTGGCGATGCGCGGATGCTGTTTTTCTCGGGATGACGAGAGGATGGCCTTCGGTGTTGAAAACCCAGGGGGCATCGATGGTGTTCAATGGATGGTCCTGGTCAAACAGAAGATAAAGGTATTTGGCAGTTTCTCCAATAAAGAAACTCTCCATCCGGTCAATGAGCTCGCCAGTCAGAACATTCCGAATGCCAGCCCAGCCACACTTGGTCCAGCAACGCCGCTTGAGGTCGCTGAGAACCATCTCTCCGACATGTAGATACCATGGATCTTGAGTTGCCCGATAGATGTAGTAGTTGGATTCGATGAACTCGGGCCGACCTCCGTACCACGGCATACCGTTGTCGATGTCACCAGTAGCTACATTCCAACGCTCGGGAATGCCCGAGTAACGTGTCCAGATGGCGGTAGTCAGCAGATGAATCTGGATAGCTTCATCTAGCT